TCTTCATCGTATTTGTTAATTTAATAATATTGGGTTTTGTAATTACGGGAAAATATGTCGAAGCGGCTCGGTATTTTAATAGAAACATTTTGAACTTCTGACGAGACAATTTTTAGGATCTTACGGAGGTGAAGATTCTTTAGTTTTCTTTTTTGCGAGTCTCTTCTTTCGATTAAAGGACAATGCCATCCACTATCCCCGCGTTTTTTCGCGAGGCTATCTCTCCAGCCGTGACCATAACTGCGCCATCATTTACACTTAGTCCCCTTTAGAGCAGCACCAGGGTGGCGGCCGAGATAGAGCGGTCGCGTATCTTTAATTAAAAGAGGCGCTCGCCATCTACTTACCCCCGACGCCGAAATAAAAAGACACGGCCGTGTGTACAGAGGGTGTCGCGATATTAAAACACCGCGCGCGTGCGCGAGCCCGAAAGGCTTGGGGTAAATAAAGATGTTACACCGTTCTTAACAGCCAATCGAGGTGGAGATAAGATCCCGCGCGGCCGGTTGATTTGGTATGTCCTCTTCTTTTCCCATTTACTTAAAATCGGACTTTCTCATTATCTCTCGTAGAGTCGTTTAACTTAATTTACAAAAATATATAACATCGTAAAATGATGCTCCGAATAAATTTAGCTTTTAAAATTTAAGGGTTGATATATACTTGCTCGATAAGTTTTTCTTTTTTTTTTTTTGCAATTCGATTGTAATCTGTATTCTTCTGAAAAAGTATCTCTTGTGCAATCTCACATTTTTTTCACGTACATAATACTTATTTTGTTAATTACACTGTTAAAACAATAGAATTATACAGTGAATATATATATATATAAAATAAAAATTTTTGAAAAAGTAAAATATATTAATATAATTCTATTAACAAACTGTAGGCTTGTTAATGAATGAGATTGAAAGGAAAGATCTTCCGGAAGTTCATAAAAGAAATTATGCCTAAATTTATTACCATCTTCCGGTCCGGTCATGTATTCAAAGGCGATATTCCGATAATGATCAACGGAAACAATGTTTTCGATCTAAAGGAACATATGCTTTCCCCTAATTTAAACCATCCAGAATTTTTTCACGTCAACGTTATAAAATTCGTTATTTGACATATTTTTTTTACACATTCTTAATTTGTGCATTCTTAGTTTCTCATTTTATCTCTCACTCGTATCTCTAGAAAGTCTTTATTATAAGACTGTAGTCGTATACATAGGTACGTACTGTATATTACTATATGTTTCGATTACATAATTTACTTTATATTCTTTAATGTTGTAATTGTAAAATTAGAAATAATTCTCCAATGTTGTAATCGTAAAACTCAAAGTTAAACAAAGCTTGCATTACGAGCAATTTTAGCTTTGTTTATCGTTTACAATTACAATATTTAATAAAAATTATTATTTTTATTTGGCCCACCACTGAATATTCCTGAAAAATGGTACGTGTAAAATTGCGAATTTTGTTCATTTTACAGGACTTTATGTTATTGCGAAATCTTATTCAAATATTAGGTAAATTTTTCGTTTCTTTTCTTTTTTTAGTTACCGGACTGGTCTATATTGCATACCTTTATTTATCCATGTAATAAAAGTGCCATACTTAATGAGGCTGTTATACGGACAAAACGCGAAAATTACACAAACGCAATTATAGACACTATATCGAATAATGTCCGCGTCTGCCAGAGGAAATCACGGCGGAATCATCCAATTAACGAAATACCTAATTTTCAATGAAATTCCCATTATATTGCATATGGGGGGATAAGCTTTAATATTAAAGCATTTTATTAAAACGTAAAATATTAAAACACTGTAATGCATCCCGTGCTCGTCAAATAGCGTCCGTGTTTGTACTGCAAACGTTTCGTACGCATTTGCAGCCCGGAAACAAATTATATCATTTCCTACCCTGCTTACCACCGTCGCAGTCGGTAAATATTCCACCGTGCAGCCAGGAATTTAAAAGTTATCGCTAACTGTAGTTGATGACATTCATCGATATTATAATACTGAGGATGTAATGAAAATGAGCGTTATCTCATTATTGTTGTGATCGATGGAATTTATTATAAAATAAAAATGTTCTCTTTTACCCTCTTTTATTTAATATATTATTTTGATTTTACAAAGATTGTATATTATAGTCTCTCGACACAAAGTGAATACAAATATAAATACGTATTGTCGTATTCTATAAAATAATAATTAATATTTTTACAGTTGTTGACTTTGAAAATTGATGCTTTAAAAGCAAAGCATTATAAATGGTTTTCTTTTCAATCTTCACGCTTTGTTCCTTTTTATAGAATATAAATCATAAATTATTTTTATTTCTTTAATTGCAGAAGGAGGAAAGCAGATTTTATTTTTAAAAATCTGTTACCATAAATTATATTTTCCAGTAAGGAGTTTTATCTTTTCAAATATAAATAATTATCACTACAAAAAAGTATATAATAATAAAGCAGCTTTGTAAAAAAAAAAAAAATAGATTATTTCTGGCATAAGGATGTAGATGTGTATTTGACATATAAACAAGCCGACTCTTCTCTTTTCCGGAAACTGCGAGAACATCGCAAGTTCCATCGTCTATTTTTACAAGTCGACCCTCGAGGGTCAAGATTTGTGAGGGCGAGGGATGGCCTCTGTCTTTGCGCTGTCGACGTAAAACATTTGTCGCGATCAAATCCTCATGGTTACGGGCATCACCGGATCGTCTTTTGTCAAAACAAACGAGCCAATCGCCCTCGAGTTATATTCAAACGATAAAAAGTGAAATATTAATTTTCCTTCTATTTTTATATTACTGTACTTCTACTTCAGTAGCAGTTTATTTTCGTATGCTCTATGGGATTTATATCAGAATGTATCTGATATCTTTTCCTGATTTATATTTTTAATCACATTGTTTATGTAATTAGTAGTTCCTCGTTAATAAGAAGCAAATATTATAGATAAAAGTATACATATTATTTTATTTGATCGACAGATGTGAGATAATTTTTATCCAAAAATAGATTATGTAAAAATTAATTTACAACAATGATTTTCATTGTGTGTATCTTCCAGATTCCTTAATAAAATTTTTGCAAAAAACAAGTGTGATTAATTTATTATCTATTAAAGTTTTACATGTAAAAATATAAACGAGAGAAAGCAAAATAGAAGTTTTAGTTAAATTATTACGAAAGTGGTATCTAATCAAGCAACGTTGGCGTAATCAAGAATTCTCATTAAATAGCAAAAACGCATTGAAAATGCAACGCGCTGATTAAAGCTTTCGAGAGCTTTCGACTGGCGTGTTTATCACCACCGGAAGGATGATGCGTTTTTAAAACGTGATAATTCGATTTGTCACTCGACCTGACATCGATATAAGCAGACATGCCTAACTAGATTTTCGCGGTATCGTTCGTCAATCTATCCAATCTATTTATGGCCATTTGCTGCAGACGAAGAGCGATTTATTATTACAGGAAAGTGCAATTGGGAGATTTCATCGTGTGAGTAACTAACGAGACTAATATTGAAACGACGACAATTTGAGAACTGGGCGTACCGTGTAATTCGAGGCATAAGATTTAAATCATTGCCGCATTTCTTTGAAAGTCTCTTTTTAATGTCGTAGCTTTGCAGTGTAACATTAGATATTATGTGATAGAAATAAATTCTCTCATATTCTCGGAAAATGATATACTTATTGTTATTTACGCGAATGTAATTTACAAGTTTGGAAGAATACATTTAATTTATAATAACGATAATATAAAAATTTTTATGAATTTAGCAAGCACTTTAAGATCCGATAATTACGTAACGAAAAATTTTATGAAATTATTGATGTCTAGATTTGACAAATAAGGAGATCCGATCGCAAGGTTACAATCTCCGAAAGAAATTACTCGCAATTAACTGATAAATTGTGTGTCATTTCTTCTTTCCAGTCACAATTTCCTTTCATCTCGTCGTCGCGACATTAATTCCGCTGACTTCCGTTACTCGGTACTTACTTTACATGGCAAACCGCGATTATCACTCAGGAATTTCGTAGTGTATGCAAAGTGCACGTACGCATGCACGCGTCGTCAACTTTGCGTTATTTTATCACGCGATCTCCAGTAACTTGTACAATAAAATTCGAGGTATCCAATTACGCATAGTACGCCTAGATAGTATTCTTGGCGGCCAATCCAGAGGCATAAATTTCCTTTATGTGTTTTACAAAAAAGTTGGGAAAATTAATAATATTAAAAATTAATTTAATAAAAGAAATTTTTGGTAGAGAGCAAAGAAGAAGTAAAATTGTGGAGCTATAACTTTTTGTTGGAATATTTTATAATTTATAGAATTAAATATTTTGACATTAATACTTGAAGTTGATTAAATCAGCTGGGATAAATCGATTAATGTGTAATCGTGATTTTTTTGTATATTAATTATTTCCTATATATATATATTTTTTTTTCAACGGAATATTCGCTATATTTTCATGCTATTCAGCACCGTTATCATTATGACGTTGTATAAATCAAGATACAATTTTAGTCGTAAAGATAGTCTGACACGCACGATGTAAAACGGAATTCCAGCGTGTTTCTTCGGCGGGCTCGTCTCGGCGTAAATTTTCGATATATGACAAATGTTCGTCGCTCGGCGTCCGGTCTATAAATTGCTTGTAAATAATTCCGTTCATTATATATCCTATAGTCGATAAATTTCCACCAACAGTTGTAACATTATCCCTAAAAGTCAACGCGCTTAGATTTCAATTTAGATTCGACAATTTAAACGCGCGTCTCGCCGAGGACAGGACCTCGAGACGCTGCAGGGGAAGAAGCGCCACGCTCTCCCGAGATAAACCGCTCGAATAAAACTCGACGGTTATCCGTCGACGGGATACGTCGTGATCGCGACACTCTGACTCCCACCTACCTCCCTCATCTCGCGATTAATATTTACGTCGTATAAAGGCTTTCGGCATTCCTGTACAATGCGGCGAAGGCCGCGTTATGAAGCGCCACCGTTGAGGTACGAGCGATTAACGCGTAATTAAAATCAACCGAGGAGGAATCCGGCACGTCGGCACCACCAACTTTTCCTATAAGTTTATGCATTTACCTCTCGGTGGCCGCAACCGCCGGGGTGCGCGGTGTGCTGCGGCCGGCGACGAGCTTTCGCAATTAATTATGCATTCCCGTCGTCGGAGTGCGTCTGGCGCGCGCGAGGCGCTCGAGACAGAAGTATCCCGCTGGATTACCGCGGGCACGCGGGCCGTTTGCTCCAAACCGCGCTTTTTCCTACTCTCTCTCTCCCCCCTTCGCCGTCCTCTTCCTTTTTTTTCCCCCCTTATTCGCCGTTTTACGGGGCAATAAATTGCGAGTAAACGAGCCGGACTGCGTTGACCTACGGACGCGGCGGTTTTCGTTTCGCGCGGCTCGTTTCTGCGACTTTAATGCGACGGCGCGCGCCTCGGCGGCGAGGAAACGGCTCCGACGTCGCGGAAAAGTGTAATTACGGCGCGAGTTGAATACTTTTTAAATCGCGTTAGCCCCGGCGTCTTCCGAGAGGCGGCGGCCGGCCCCCGGTGATCCCATTCCTGGCTAAATCCTCACTTTTCTTAGGACATCAAAGGCATCCTTTAAATGCATTTAATTGTCAAATGAGCGGGGGATTGCTGTCTTCTCGTTCTGTTTTTCCCTTTTTTGCTGAATATTATTTCACGGCCAACTTCTCGTTGGCGCACGAGAACCGATATATACATTTTACTATAATAACGACACTTCTGGGTCACTCGAAAAATTAATGAGAAAAATGTGGGAGAATCGCTAAAAGTAATTTGTGACCTCTTCTACTGTTAGATATTAAAGGAGCAATGACAGCTTAATTCGTACGATTATTTGAGACTCTTTGTAAAATCGTATCTGATGATATTCTAATCTATATTCTAAATAATGTGAATTATTTTTATTTCAGGCAAGAAGAAATTCCCCTCGGATCCATCTTGCTGTCCTGTATGCGGAGTGACAGTGAGACCTCAAGAATTGGAGCAACACTTTGCTCAAGAACTCGATCGATTGTACAAGGTCTCCTCGGCATCTTCGAGACCACGACCCTCGAGGTCGACCTTACCGCCGACGCATCCCCAAGATCATTCCCATGGCACGATGCTCCACGCCCCATCGGCAGCGGATGGCACCCCTCAGGGTAGATGGGAGACGTACAAAAGGATCAAGGCCAATAGACAAGTAATGCATTTTTTTATTTCCTCTTTTAAACCTCATCTGCCCGCTTTCTGTTTCTTGTCCTACTTTACCTCTTGCCGTTTTGCTTCTTTGCTTTCTGTCTGTTAAAAAGTTGACGAACTCCCGAAGGGACAAGAAACATGTATGATAAGAAATACGATTGTCGATAAAACGGTCGTAAAGAGGAAAAAAAAGCAAAGAGCACACGTTGTATAACCAGGCTTCAATCTTTCATTAATCGTGGGCGTCTTCATAATTTCACGAAGTAGTAAATGAGGAATTTCGACAAGATACGATGAAACATGGCGACTACTAATTACAATAAAGATGTGCGAATTGCTATTTTTTTTATACACAGGCTAGAATACGCGTTAAGAATCGAAAGCGAAAAGCGGACGAGGCGTCCTGTCCGGTTTGTAGCGAGAGACTGTCAGGCACTCCGGAGGAATTGAATCAACACGTCGACCGATGCCTGAACAAACAGAACAATGGGAACCCAGCCGGGCAGAACGCGAACGTCGACGAGGAAGAAGTCGACGTTGAGGGTGACCCCGAGTACGAGGAGTACGAATGGGCCGGGCAGACGAGAGTGCGTGCCACTTCCATGCTCGTTGGTGGGTTTTCCGGTAAGTCCATTTGCAGTGTTGAATTATACGTACATTTATCATGACACGTGTAGTGAATATTTGTATTGAATTTGTGATAATTAATTCCTATTGCGAAAGATTAAAATGATCTGACTGATCGAATCTTAATTTCTAATCCGCAACTCAGTCTCTCCAACTAGCGTGACACACTTGAGACATCGCTATTTCCTTGCCTCGCAGCCGCAGGTCTCGCCACATCCTCGAACAACCGTAGCGGTGCCAGGGGTGGAGGTAATCAGGAGGACGAAGACGTCGACCTGGTGGTCGATGGCGACGACGCCGCCGAGTTCGGTCCGGCTCAGTATTCCGAAGCGGACGTGGTCGCGCCGCGAGTCGACGGCACGCCGCGAGAACAGAAGGAACGGGACGCGCTTCGCGAGGCCGTTATCTCGCCGAACGCGCCGCACACCCCGCAGCAACTAACCCCTGACTCCGGGCTGACGGCGCAGGGCCTGGTCGAGGTGAAGCCGGAGCCAGGCGCCGCAACGGCCGTCGCCCAGCAAAACGATCCCGACGAGGGTGCTTCCGGGTCGCCTAGGAGAGACGGCGACACGCCCGTCGTCGAGGCTCTTCGGGGCCGCATCCGTGAACTCGAGGCTGAGATGCGCGGACAGCCCTTCAAGTGTCTCATTTGCATGGTGAGTTCATTATTATCTCGACGATTATGAATAAAACGAAATTTCTAAATCGGGTCCCTGATTCCAGAAATATTTTCGCATCTCATTGTAAACTAAGATTTCTGTAGTGTGACTACAAGAACTTAATTTATGTTCTTAACTTTTGAACGGCTTTTTTGGTATGACACGCTCAACTTTTTTCCCCAATATTTGTCCCATTTATTTTCTTAGTGTTATGTTCCTCAATGTCTAACGTTTTAATTGAAAAAAAATTATTTATAACGGTATAGATATGTTCATAAAAATGATGAGCAGTCGAATTGGGTTGGATGTTGGATGTTGTTCTCATAATACGATGTTTTCACACGAAAAGATTAAATTTCGAGGTAATTTGTATACAAAAGTGAACGTAAATTCCAAAGAATAATATTCAATGTTATGTTAATGATAGAAAATAATTGCACCTATATTGTTAAGACAAGAAAGCAAAGTCAAACTGCATAAATAATTTTGAATTGAGATTTTGTCGAAATATGTTTGCAGAACAATTTATCGTTTGAATAATGCGCCTCGCGAAATGAATGAAACGAGATCGTAATAATAAAAATTAGGTTTCGCTCTCTGAAAACGATTATTAAACGTAAAAACTGAACCGATTAACTTTCGAACGCTAATATGGCAAATGATTGTAATTGAGTCACTGTAATTAGTTCATCGTTATAGATAACTTGCTGGTTTTAATATTGTGAAAAATCAAATTGGACATGCAAAAATAAGCCGTAAAAACGGGGCGCGCTTTATCGTATTTTATATTATTACGTATATTTTATATATTATTTCTTGTAATATTGCATTATACATATTATTTCATCGCGTTTCATCCGTGATCTGGAAAACGTGCGTTTTGTAACTCGTAAATAATTGCGACGACGTATAAAAGCCGTGCGTAAAATTCGACCGTTTTTTTTTTTTTTTCCCATCGGCTTGAAATATTTAGATCTCGTCAGATAAATTATTCTCTAATACGGCGTATTAAGGATTAACGAAGTAGCGAGGGAACATTACGCGTATAATATCGCCGCTCAGTGTTTCCATCGTCGATGCGGTATTACCTGTCCACCCCGACTCTCGGTAACAGGTTCGCGATCACTCGCGGAATAACTCGCTAAGCGAGATAAGACGGCGGTCTCGCTCGTAACGTAGTGGCAGTAAAACGCTAAAGGTGTATCGACCCGCGGTCGCTTCGGTTATCAGGATAAACAGCGAGCGTATTTGCGCCGATTCCAGGGAGGAATGCCGCTTACATAACGACCGCGAATAACGATCGCTTTAATTCATTTTGTGAAAAACCGTCGAGAGAGAAAGAGAGAGAGAGAGAGTGCCAATCCAGCTCGCGACCTCATCTTCGTCACTCCAGTCCCAGAAATTGGACTGGATATAGCAGACTCTCCCCCTTTCACACTTTGCGTTCGTCTAATGAGAAATTAAGATATTTCCTTTTCGAGACGCGACTCGTCTCGTAAACTTGAAGAACAATTATCGTCGCGCATTGGTCGCAATTAACTAAATTAGCGATGTAATAAACCCTCACGCGGTTACCTGTATCTTTTATATTGACACGCGTGTGAAAAGTGGGGAGAGTATCGGTGCAAGTGCAGGTTCGCCAATTATTTTATTTATTAAATGTGTGAAAAATCTCCATTTTCCAGGAACAATACAAAAAGCCGGTCACTTCGGTTTGCTGCTGGCACGTACACTGCGAACAATGCTGGCTACATACATTGGTGAGTATTGTTTATACGCTTTTGAATCTAGTTATATTTTAAATAATTAAATTTAAATTTTTATAACTTATATATAACTCTAGACGTAATACATGCAATTCGCAAAATAAAAATAGCTGTTGGAGTTTCTGCAAACATTTTTCTACACATCAATATTTAAGTAATCAAACGGAAAGAACAATTTTAAAAGTTTAGCTAAATGATCTGAAAATAAATTTGTTGGATATCAAATTAATTATGTAGGACGTTCAAGCTGGTTCCTATTATAGGATATCAAAACTTTTTGCAGCATTGCTCATCATGGTTGAATTTCCTACATAATTATTTTGACGGTCCAACAAAATTATTTTCAGATCTCTGTATATCTACCTAAATTTTTAGATACTCTTCAGTAAAATCGTTCTTTCCGTGCACATATAATTATATCAGATCGACCTCTGAATTTAATTTTCTTTCGTGAAAGCTGCAGCAGCATTAATGTAATCGTCGATAAATATATTTAATGAAATTTGTATTGACATGTCGGAATCCCGACACTTTTGCTCAAGTCTATTATCAATTTTCTCTATTCTGTGGCTCTTCTTGAAGTCTGCGCGGCGAATTCCGTCAGATGACTTTGATTTCGACAATTGTTGAGAAACGAGGATTTTCTTACGCGCTGTTACAGGGTGCGAAGAAACTTTGTCCGCAATGCAACATGATAACGTCACCATCCGACCTGCGACGCATCTACATGTGAAGAATCCGGTTCGACGTCTCTCAGGATCTACGTTCTCCACATAAGAGACTCGGAATCAGCCAGGCGGCGTTATCAACGAGCGTTCCGCTCCTGTAAATACTTGTATATTTTTCTGCGTTACGTAAATTAACTCTCTAGGATTTTAACATGTACGTTTTATGCATCTTAGAGCTAGTAAATTAACTCCGTTAGTTCTTAACGATCATCAACCGAGCGTCGCTTCAAGATCATCCGATGCAGTTTCGCGCGTCTGCAACGATCGCTCACAATCGATATATTCACTTATACTTACGAATACAATCTCGCCGTCCCTTCCGAAAACTGTCAATTCTCCGCGAACCTTGCCGTTGCTGTTTTCACTTCCATTTATTACATTGAAATCATTATCATAAATTAGTTGTTTTTATTATACAAGAATCAATTCGTTCTCGATCATTATTGTTCCGCTTTGATCACGAATCTCTTAATCTCGTCTTTTTTTTATACTTAATTTGATGTTGATGCAATTTTTAAAGTTGAAATGTTTATGCACGAAAATAATTCTTATTATTGTTATCGAACAATCATTATGTTACGTATGTATTATACGTAGAGAAAACGATTTCGTTCAAGTATCCAAACATTCAGCTAGATAGATCTGAAAATCTACAGACCAAAATTTTTAGAATTTTGATTGCAATCAGTTTAAGTGTATATCGTATCTAAAAATTTTGATGGTCTAATATAATTATTATCAGATTTGTATCTAGCTAAATTTTGGAAATTTTCTTTCCGGGAAATACTCTGCATTACAGAGAGAATTGTCTGTTCAACACGCAACTTTCAAGTATCCAAACATTCAGCTAGATAGATCTGAAAATCTACAGACCAAAATTTTTAGAATTTTGATTGCAATCAATTTAAGTGTATATCGTACCTAAAAATTTTGATGGTCTAATATAATTATTATCAGATTTGTATCTAGCTAAATTTTGGATACTTCAGCGAAATTGTTCTTTCCGGGAAATACTCTGCATTACAGAGAGAATTGTCTGTTCAACACGCAATAAAACTGCGCGATGCAGACGACACCTAATTCGCGTCACATAAGCTGTACAATGTACATCTTCGTTTCACAAACGAGGATTAAGGAAACTTAAGATTACGCGAAAGTAAGATGAGAGAGAAAGCCGATTGGCTATGTGACTTTGTTTCTTTCCGATACACAAATTTGTACGGAATTTACGACCACATGTAACAATTAAGTTTTTCTTTGAACGGTACGCGTTTTTCTAATGATCGGTTTCGATCTGACGCTCGTCGATCAATATAATTACCAGAGAACTTTTAGATCATCGCCAAAACCAATCTCTCGCGATGCACCACAGCGAGCTGAAATAATGTAAATACACTAAACGGATCAAGAAGAAAAATAAGTCCCCCCGATCGCTGTTCTGTAATCGAAATAAAACGATCATGGAATGTACAATTGTGCATGTGCTGTATTTCACGAATTGTCTTTTTCTCCTCGACCAAATCGACGATGCAGATATTTTTGAAGAAGAAGAAGATACGACAGGTACGTACGAGAAATATTGTATTTATTATTGTTTCTCGATCGCCGTTCGACATTCGGCAGTCAAACAAAATTTCACTTTATTTACATGTATAATATTTTTTCGTATGTTTAAAATAATCGAAAACGTTAAAAGATTTTTTTCCTCTAACATGAAATTGCAAATGTTAGTGTTGCAGAAAAATTATGGATATTTCAAAATAATCAGATAAATGACATTTGAATAAGTTGCTAAAGATATAGAAAGTAATACAAGTGCGTGAAGTTAATACAAAACTATATCTATATCGTGCGAATTTACAATAAAATTATAGTATCAACCATGTTTAACGCTTTGCTGTTCGCCTAAAATAACGGCTTTCTCACCAATCTTTCAAGCAAGAACTATAGTTATGACTTAACGATAAATTGAAAACTTAACGCGAAACGAAATAATAATTTACCAAATTTATTCTCCTTGAGATGAATCCAAGTAAAATTTAGTTATATGTCTACGATTCTTGAATAAAACGAAGTCGCGTCCGCAAGAAAGAGGGAGAGAGAGAGAGAGAGAGAGAGAGAGGCAGCTAAAAATACACTGCTATGTGCGAGTTTTGTAAATGTCTAACGTTTAATTTCCGCTTCTTATCTCCGCGCTCTACGTACTCGTTTCGAAGGAGCTCGTGATTAAAGCCGCAGCGGAAGCGGGACCGGCGGGATCGCGGAGGAGAGCAAAGAGGTCACCATGGTGGCGGTCCTCGAGGAAAAAGGGTCACGCAAAATGGCGTGCTGGGTTTACGAACCGTGTAATAAACGAGGACGGGGGCGGGTATATAACAGTGACGGAAGTAGAGGTGGCGAAGACGGAAGTGGAGGCGGCGGTGAAAGTGCCGACGAAGGTGGAGCTCGGCGTCGCGCTCCGTATGGATCCGCACGGGCGGATTCATAGAGAGGGGGGGAGGGTAAGAGTCTGCAGTCTCTCTGCTGGGCGCAGGCGGGATGCGCTTTGAGGTGCAAGAGCGGAACGAGGTCCGCAAGATGGTGGCTCGGCTATACGAGCTCGCTATACGGGGCACAGCAAAAAGAGTGTGTCTATGGAGTCCTCACCTTTTTTACTTCGTGCGAAACGATTGCATATTAAATAAATTGTAATATCGAGACGCTGGACCAGTCATTAGAAATCTCCAGCGCTTCTGTTCCGTTAAAATATAAAAAAAAAATTTACCCATCGATCTTTCGACGAACGTTAGATAAATATAAAAATGGAACGAAGAGATATTTTTAATAATTATATATAAATATATCTTTCAGCTGCTCTCTCTGTAAACGAAGTTTTTTTCAGAGCAACAATCCTATTATCGCGAGAGCCCTTTGGTTTTAATTTATCGCACGAGCAACAGCGACTGTGTGCTTCACAAGCTGAACCATGCGTGAATAATCTCTACAACGTTATTTGTTACATACTAATAATTCCTGCTAGATTCGTCGCGTTTTTATCGCCGTTTCAAAATACGATTTTAATAACGTTCTCCACAACCTCGTTCCAATTCTTACTCCAGTTTCTGTATTATTTCAAAATTAGCCTAATCGTACGTCATACATTCGTTCGATTTACTATTTCAATTTGACCACTACATTTTCCTATTTAACTTTAACCAGCCGCTCCCAGCTACCTCCGTATATCTACTATAAGCGCGTTCTAAAGAAGGTATAGACTGCAGAAAGCCCCGGCTGGCGGATTCACCGTCACCGGTAAGAGGTAGTCGATGAAGGAAAACGTCGAGGCCATTCCCCGAGGTGGAGGTGGACGATGGTGGTGGGAATGAAAAAAGGGGGACAGAGAGAGAGAGAGAGAGAGAGAGAGGAGCAGCTGGAGGTTGTGGAAAAGGTCCGGGAAATCCAGCCGGGCGACATACCTCCCGCGAAAGGTGGGCTCGTAGGGTGGAGGCGGTGAAAGCTCCGCCTCTATCTCCATCGTGTGCTTTCCGTCGCGTCTGCGACGCATTTTTTTTCCTACTTACGCGCGAGTTCACGCACGAGAAGCTCTTCTCGCCCCGAGCTCATCTGCCCGCAGTCAATCCCGCGGAACGCCGCGGAAGACGCCTCTCTGCGCGCCTCCCACCCTCTTCTCCTCATCCTTTCCGAGTCATTGAACTCTATTCCGTCCTGCTGCATGGAAAATGGAAACGGGCTCGGTGTTATACCATCGAACTGTCGGTGATGGAACTTTGTTGCGGATGGAAAAGGGTAATATCGTGGATAAACGTAGAGGCGATCTTAATACCAAGGCGGCTAAGAGACAAAGAAAATGCAGACAAAGATCCAAAAGATGCTTAGAAAACTGCACGTGGGATACCGAAGGATCAATTTTTTTTTAGATTTTTCAACGATATTCGTTGTAGAGTACCATGTTATTTAGTGAATTTATAAATCTATTGTATTTTCATATAATTTTGTATATTTATTGTATATATTATGTATGCGATGTACCGAGTTTTTCATCTTTTAAAAGAACCGAAGTTTATCAAGCGAGAATAAAGTCTGTAGGTTTATTTTAAATATTAATCTTTTTCGACTCTCTTAAATGATACTTCTATGTAATTTTCTATCGTCGCATCCCTCAATAAGTAACATTTATGAAGAACGTATTGATTCTTCAATGAATTAAGAGATAAAACAGAAGAATTTTTAACCTCGCGGTTTTATCTTAAAGTTAAGTCTTTGAAACGATTCGTACTCACAGGATTTTGTCGACTGACAAACAAATTCGCACAACGTTTGGTCCAATGTGACACGATTTAATGTAATTTTAAAGATATATCTATTTCTCATATTTTATTATAATTTTAAAAGTATCTACTTCTCAATGTGATATTGCAGTTTGATAACAATTCACAATTCAACTTTTGATAACGCAATTTGTTCAACGTGTCAGACTTAATTGACCGCAAGTAAAAGAATACTTCAAAGCATCAAGTATGAACCGTCAGTTTTTACGTTTTAAAAGCTGTGACTTCGAAATTAATTTGCAAAATTTGACTATAAAAGTTACAGCTAACTGCACTTACAAAAATAACCATCGATGTGAGAGGTACTGATTTTTTAAGAAAAAGATTGGAATCAGATTAATCTATAAACTGCAATTTAATCCTCGATATTGAACCTGGTCTTTTGCAATTTATGATCTGAAAAGACGAGTGACGCAGCTGAACCGATCATCGAATTGTGATGACAATTGTAACGTAAATCAGTCGAGGAAGGACTAGAGATCCTTAAGTGATCGAGAAATTGGACACCGTTTACACAACTTCACGTCTTAAAATAGAATGAGATAGATGCATAGATATCTCAATCAGTCTTAAACGAGGAGCACCCACTCCTATATAACGCATAGAACACGAGAGACTCAACCGAAATCGAAATCTTTGATTGATTTCATGGAAAGGAAGGAAACGATCAAGAACTT